CTGACATTGGCGTGTACTTCTGACCCTTTCTTTTGCTTCCCCTTATCCCCATTCTGCCTGTTACTCTACAATGGACTCGTATGAATTAGATATATTATTGAAAGAGCTTGAAGCAGATCACACAGACGTTTTGAAGCTTGTAGATCGTGAGCTGGAAAAAAAGTCGACTACTACCGGTGTCGACGAATATGAGCGCCTTACTAAAATTGGCCAGGGAACGTTCGGTGAAGTTTTCAAGGTTCGCCACAAAATGACCAAGAAGCATTACGCTCTAAAGCGCTTAAAAATGGAACAAGAAACAGAAGGTGTAAGATGGCAACTATATTTTTATGTGTAAAGTTTCCGATTACAGCCCTTAGAGAAATTCGCATATTAAGTTCCCTAAATCATGAAAATATCGTTTGCCTGAGAGGAATATGCCACAAAAAAAGTATTCTTTATACATTTTTATTTCTTTATAGACAATCCGTCTAGTAATTATCGATATGAATTTTATCTTCTTTTCGATTTCTGCGATCACGATTTGGCTGGCCTTTTAAGTCATAAGGTGGATTTTTCACTTCCGGTCAGGAAAAGTATAATGAAACAGCTCCTCACTGGTCTATATTTCTTACACAAGTAATATCAAAAAGCACTTTTTCTGTTTACTTTATGTCGTTGACGTTCTGATTTTTGTTTTCATTTAATTTTTTGTACCTTATTTATCTCATTTATCAATCCCATATTGCGATAATTGCGTTATATTTGTTGGATTCTCCATTCTTTATCTATCCGGAATCCTGTTTCTTGCTCTAGGCCTTAGCTTAACTTCTCGCTTGATTTGTCTTTATAGTCCCCTTGTTGATCCTACTTTGGTTGCTAATGTACGAATTTTAGTTTCCTTTCTTTATAGAGATCTTTTGTCAGGGTGTAGAAACCTGTTTTTTAAATTATTAATATTTTATCTGCATCAATCAACGTAAATAGTTGTGTATATTCTTAGGATTTTCATTTTTAGTTTTATAAGTAAATTTATTTTTCCTATGTCGGCCCCCATGGGTTATGACTAGTCAAACCATGCCCTGGCAATAGCAGCATTATACTTTTTGTCTTGCTTGTAAGCTATTTTTAGTATTTAGCTTTAGTGATTTCATTTATTGTAATCGCTTGATTCTTTTTATTTTACCGAAAGTGAGTATTTTTCAGCACGACACTACGATTTTCTTAGAATCTCCTAACTACCTGTACTATTTCGAAAGTTCAACCATCTAGTTTGTTTATTTCTATCTAAGCTATTATCACCTGCAAATTAATGTATAAGCCTATACATTTGCTTTAAACCGATCAAAGTTTAAATTTATGTTTCGTCTATATTTTCGACCAATCTTTCGTCCTTAGCCGATGTAACTTGGTACATTATCAGAGGCCAAATGGTTGCCTTAAGCAGTTTGCAGATATACTAGATTACCGTGTATGTAGACTTCTTTCACCTGACTATAGACTTTGCTTTGAGTCAAGTAC